GTTTTATTCTGAAAAAGAGGATTAATGCCGATATCTGCTATTAATTAAAGATCTTTTGAAGAAATGGGGGATGTCAGATCAACGGTCTTAGAATGGCATACAAACCAGGTTGAGGTTAATAGGCTTGGGGATCTCTACAATTACAATGCTATTAATTACTTCTGAAAAATCCCGAAGAAGAGAGAAAAGCAATCGACATTAGACAGATTATTTAACCCCCACAAAAAAAAAACCATAACTAATAAAAATGCACATCTGTGTATACATATAAATAAACGTAGTAAGAAAGTATATATTTTTTATTTTGGGATGTCTCCAGAACGAATTAATCAAATTCCCATACAAACCTATGGTAAATTCATAATCGGTTAACGAACAATTCGGATAGCGAACAAAGTCTTGGAACGGATTATGTTCGTTAACCGATCACCCACTGTATATATACACTTTATTCTTTCAATAAGAACGTATACAAATATAATAATATATACATATAATAATCAAATACACATGTTGTCCATCCTTACGTTTTGGGTAAATGTGTATTTGACTTATTTAAATAAATAAGTTTATAATTTAAAAAATAATAAGATTATTTCAAGTTAACTTTAATTTTGTTGTGTTTATAAACTATAAAGTTTATTAAATTGATAGAAAATTTTAAAATTTTTAGATAAATGTCATATTTCATAATACAAATATTGTTTATATTAATGTAAGATAATGAAAAATATTACAGTAGAGCATTGATTATCCAAAACAATTCAAGACTGGGGTTGTTCTGATAACTGATCATTTACAAAAAAAATATATTAAACACAAAACTGTACTGTATATATTTTGAATCACACATCTTACAAATTCATACCTTACATAAAGTAGGCCTAAGTTTAGGTTGGCAGGGAGGAAAAAGTACTGCAATGCCACAGCACTAGTAGAAATTTGAATTTGCCAATTGGAACACTTTCGGTTAACCAATGTTTCAGTTGATCAGTATTCAGATAATCAATGCCCTACAGTAGTTACATTCTAATTTAGTTTCAATGCAAAACAAATACTGTATTGCAATTATTAGAAAGGAGTATATAATATTTTCCTCATAAAATGTTTAACAGTATTTCTTAAGATCACTTTGTATGAGAGAAACACATCAGATCAAGAATATATTAAACACATACTTTTTAATAGTTAATTTTTTTGTATACATTAAGTATTTTAGAATAAAACATTTAAATGTATACAAAAAAAATTTAGTACATTGTTTTGTGTACATATGAAAAGAAGTAATTCATGATTTCAAGCTAATCAAAATATATAAATAAATAATAAACAGAAAAATCTTTTCCTCTCTTTTCTTCATAAACAAATAAGATATATTTATTTATATAATAAGTTTATTATTACTGAATATTAAACTAAAATATTGATTTGTTAACCTTTTATGGTTAAAAAGTTCATTTTTTAAAGATAAAATGAATGCTAATTGATTTAAAATAATATTCAGTAAATAAATTATTTATCTTACCCCAGTATTTAAATTCTTTCCTTCCATTACACCATTCCATTCTCCCGTCACAGTATAAAAAGGCTTTTTGTCACTTGGTTGAAAGACATTAGCAGTGATACGATGTTTCTTGTTATTGTAGAAAGGCTAAACAATATAAATGTATAATGAAATAATTGCAAAAACTATAACATTGTATCATCATAAGTTACTTATGTTTCCAGTAATCAGAAAGATTCACCAGTTAAATAATTAAATTATTATGTAAATTAAAATACATAAATGCATTAGTGAATTAATAATAATAATTAAAACTTTATATATAACAACAAAAAATAAAATTGTTTTCTATATTACAAAAATTATTTACACACTGTATAATAATAAATGTATAAGAAACATATAATAAAAATGTTACATTTTATTACAAATATTTTTGTAGATAAAACAGAAAATTGGAAATGTTTAGACTAATCATTTTCATTTATTTTAACATGAATTTCCTATATTTCCACTCACTTTAAATGTATTTAAACTTCTTTTCAATATTTAAAATTTACAACTTGAAACAAATTTTTATTTTATTGATAAAAAGTTGGTCTAAATTTCATATTCTTGATAGTAAATAACTGATTATTTTGTTATTTTCTCTCATTTACTCAATTTGATATAACACTTCAGTAAAAATAAGTTTTGTAAATCACTGTAAAAAATTTGTCATTTATCATGCTTTTGATTCTAATAAAACTTTTAAGTAAATAATTAAATCCCTTTATTATATTGTATTATTGTTACTATAGTAAACAAAATATCAACAGAATAGAATATATTTCTAATCCTAATTTTGATACAGTTAATCTAGCAATTCTTTATAACTTTCAAATAAACTTTAAAGTTTTAGCATGTCAAAATATCTAAAAATTATTTTTAACACAGCTTAAAATCCAAAATTTTAAACTTAATGACTGAACTGATGTTAATTTTAGTTTGTTATGTTATATTGCATATTGCATCACCAATAAATCTAAAATAAAATTTAATTTCTTCAATACCCATATACATAGATAAAGCCAAGACATTTTTTTTCTTAATTAAACGGTCATCATATGAATTTTCCAGTTTTAACATTTTTGAAAATATTTAAGATTAAAATTTACTGGTCCTTTTTTAATTATTATATTTATATTTTCAAAATATGGGCCTATGTATGTGAAGTATTAGATGGAGCATGTGTATGTAAATTATACATATACAGCAAAACTTCTCTTAGGTGACCATCTAAATTGTATGAAAAACAGTAGTCCTGGAAAGTGGTCTTCTAAAATAAATACACCATTTTGACAGCATAAAGCATTGTATTAACACAGTGACATAATAAAAAGATAGAAATACTGTGAGATAGAAAAAAAATGCATTTTATTTGCCTTGCTGGAAATTATCTAGTAATAAGTGCAAAAAATATATATATAAATTGTACACACATTATAACTTCTGTACTGTCTTATTCATATTGTAAATGTCACAATCACGTCTCATCTTGCCCACTCAGAAATAATTGGAATTCCTAATATCTATTCATCAAAAGCATCTTTGTTTACTTCTTCACTTTCAAAACAGCTTGAAACATAATGTTATGTCACAGATAAAACTTAACAAACCATCCACTGCTGGTATGAAAGGTTCAAACTCCAAGTTCCAAGGCAAACTTTAAAGCCATTTCTTGCATCATCAATCCTAAGACAGGCAAGCCTTTGAAACAACAATGATAAAAATCTACCCAAAATTGTTCTGATGACATCTTTATAGGATTTGGTATAACTTCATTTGATGTTCTCCATAATGTTTGCTTCCCATTCACAGATAAAGCTCCTTTTTGGCAAAAATTGTAGTATTTGAGTCTTCATATACTTAAATTCCTTTTCCAATTGTTGCTGCAATTTTCCAGCTTCACTTTGCTCAATACAGGAACTTTTTCCTTTAAAATAAGGAAGAAACTTCTATTTGTTACTTGACATCTTGCTTGCCCACAACTGGCTAAAATGAAACTATGAGCCCTAAATGTTGAGGTTAATTCTCAGAAAAACTTTACTGAAAAAGAAAGTGGATCAAGAAAGGAAAGAAAATATATTCAGTTGAAGATGAATCACCAGCCTGAATTTTACTGTAGTTTCTGAACATACATGCACACAGAACACACAGAAATTTAGAAAGATATTGTACTATAGTTTACAAATGTAAAACCACATTCTTATGAAAGAATTTAAATAATAAAATTAATCTAAAAATTAAATATAGTATGTAGTATAGACAAATTAAAATTCCCTCAAATATCTAACGTTATGATCTAAAGCAGCAGTTCCCAACCTTTTTGATTTGTCCCCTTGGCAGCCCATTTTTCTAAATTGTACCTATTACATTACAGAAATGTTTGTACAGTACTTTATACAGTTGTATTTTAAACTTGTTGCAACTGTAAATAAATAGCAGTGACATGGCAAGGAAGAAGCACAGGGCTGCTGAATTGATGAAAATTAAAAAGTTATCTGTACAGGTAAAAATGTTTAGTGTTCAGTGTTTTATCTACTTTTCTAATTACCACACCATTGCTCTTTGGAGTTGGTTAATAAAAAAAACCAATAATAAATTGTATACAGGTATACCTCGAGTTACATCGTTCTGGATATAAGTCGTTTGTTAAAAAATATATGGAAAAATACGTTATGGTTTTATTTGACTTTACGTCCGTCCACCACAAATATTGAAGTCATAATATCACTAGAAAAACATTAAAGCACATAAAATCATATTAAAACATGTACATTTACAGTAAATGTTTAATATAATCATCATAAATCCTAGAAAATGAAACATGAAAGCATCTGTGTTTCTGTGTTGTTGTCTTATTTAGCGGTCTATAAGTGCTCAATATTGGTGTTTTCAATGGTAGCTCCAATATCTACCGTTTGGCATCGTTGTCAGCGCCACTCAATATTGGTAAATTTAATATAAATTAGTTTATTTTCTACTGTCACAAGGTAATTTTAATAACTGTATTTGTTATTTAACATTACAAAATCATCTTATTTTATAATGTCTTAGAGCAAACCACATTCACAAATAAAGAGTCCACGATGTACTGTAAACATTGCCAAATTGTAAACATATACATTTACATGTATGTATTGTGTGTACATGAATTCGTAAATTTAGATTACTTTTTTCTGTACTATACTAAAATCAAAAATTTATTTGTTTGTAAGCTTAAAATAGATTCTTATTAACCATATATTATTAAAAATGCATTTATAAATAAAATACAAAACTGGGAATGGTTATTTGTGGTTTAGCCTAGTGACAAGTAAGTTTGACTTACGTCGTTTTTCGACTTAAGTCACCTCTTCTGGAACCAATTACTGACGTAAGGTGAGGTATACCTGTATATGTATTTAAAACTCAGATCAATTTATTGAATTCAAGTTATGTGATGCTGCCAAAGACCTCAACATAGAATCTGAATATTCTTATAGTACATACATCTGCCATTATTAATTTTCCTTCGTGTACCCCTAAGGAATCACTGTTCTAAAGTATTAAGGGTGTATCATACAAGCATAGAAAAATATAAAACAAGGTCCACTAATAATACATTTTGCCTCAGACATCCTGATGTCTTATCTTTGACCAGTCATTTTATTTGCAGAGGCAATTCCATTTAAAAGGAAATTTTAAAAGTGATATACTATAGATGCAGACTGTTTGAAACACATATGGTCATTTAAAAGTGTGTGTTTTGCATTATCATATTGTAAGTGAGTAGCCATTGGTGAAGAGGGTAGACTTTTTCAAAGAAAATCAAGTTGCACTGATCACATTGAAGTGGTCTCCCAAAAGAGGTATTCATCTTAGAAAGTTTAACTGTATGTATGTGTATATATATATACAAACATGACAGACACTTGTGTGTATAAAATTAAAATATTGTAACATATAAGGTTAAGTTAAGACATTATATACAATAGAGCGTCAATTATCCAAATCAATTGGGGATTGGGGTTGTTCAGAAAATCGATGTTTCGGATAACCGATTATGTATGAAAAAATATATTAATTTATCCCATCTTGACATTTTTCTCCATTGCGTGTCGCTTCATGTTGAATTTTCATCGATGTTAAGCCTAACGAAGACTATTGTATCATTAAAACTTACTTTTTTATTTTATACGAACAAAATAAATATATTGAAAAATATAAAAACAATAAAAAATTATACTTCAGAAGTTAATTTAGTATCAAAAACGTAAAATATTTGAGAAGCCCAACACATAGCCAAAGATTACAGCGCCACAGCACTGACAAAAATTTAAATTTGCCGACTGGAATTCTTCGGATGATTGACGTTTTGGATGATTGACTTTCGGATAATCGACGCTCCACTGTATTGACATAATAGAAACAAAAAGTCTATCTATAGTATTATCTCAATTTGAAAAAAACTGATATATTTATAAAGAATAACATCTTCATTGAAATTTAAATAGCTAGTAATTTAAAACTGCAATTCTATTGTGACATCGTCACAATGTCAGACTGCAATTCTTAATCATATTTTTTCATTTATTTAATTTAAAATATATGTTCTCCACCTTCAAATCACTAGTGTCTTGCCCCTGTACATCACACTTTTCCTTTAACAATTGAGTTGTGCCAGTCTAACTAACTCCTTTCAGTAGAAATTTTCAAACTGAAATAATATGACTTCAAGTTTGCATTAGATATTTGCATATAGTTAATCAGTCCTGCCCTTAAACTGTCCACATCTGGTCAGCTTTCATCCATCTAACTCCGTTCTCAAGATTACAGAAGGACAGACAAATGGACGACAGTAGGAATTTATAGGACTACAATTTTTTCAAATTTCAGCCCAATAAAAACAATTTTTATGATAAAGGTTTAAAACTAACTTTTAAAAATTTAAAATATTATATAATTCATTTCATAAGTATAACATAATATTTGAAAAAGACATTTTAACTTACTTTAGAATGAAAATCGATATGAGCATAGTAGCCTGTCTTGGCACAACTAATATTAACTTCACCACATAATTCAATCCAAGGCACACTTAGAATGGATCTAAAATATTTTTTTAAATAGTAAATTATTCAATGGGATCAGTTATTTAGTTAAAATGAATTTTAAAAAAATAACTATATTTCTAAAAATATTTTAAAATTAAAATATAGAATAAAGTTAAAATACTCAATCAACACCAATTCCAAGATAACAAATTACGAGTTGAAGCAGTTAAATCATAAAAAAAATGCTTATTTTACTTTTTTCTTATCCATATGCATTTTGCCTTCTTTCTTCAGCCTCATCAGAGGATAACAATACTCATTTTACCATTTTATATTGGTGCTTTTATACCATACAAAGTGCCATCCAAGCATCTAATGACATTCCAGTTGTAATTCATTACCTCCGAATCAGTGTCGCTTGACTATTTTAACTTGGAGATTGTGTTCTATATTTTAATTTTTAAACATTTTTAGAAATATAGTTATTTTTTTATTCATGGATCTAAAATATTAAAAATTATCATTTAAGTTATTATTTTANTTACACGTGTCGGGCTGTGATTGGAACGACTCGTAAGAAATCAGATTCCTAAAAAATGGAACGTATCTATGATCTTATAGGGGAGTCGACTGTATAAGATAATAAATGTATTTTTAATAACAAACAATAAGGTGTACCCACAAATGAAACATGTGGACACATTTACCTTCGTGACTCGTATGGTTCCTGTTCTACTACACGGTTGACTCTTTTCCTCACAATTGGAATAGATCTTGTATCTACAAAAACTTCTGTTTCCTATAAAAAAAAAAAATTGATTAATCATAAAAGAATTTAAATCTGATGGAGTTTTGAATATAGTCTAACAATTTTTATAAAATGTATTTAATTTTAAATTAAATATATCATAAAAATATTATGTATCAACATTAATAAACTAAATTTCCAGAAAGTGAATAATAATAAAGATCTATCAATTAAACAATTAATAAAAATAATCTGATTATATAAAAAGACATTAATCAATTCAGAGTGAAAAACACCATCTGTAAACTGAAACAAATTTAGTTTGAACAACACCTTAAATACTATTTTCAGCAAGACTTTGATTTATTTAATTAAACAAACATTTTCAACTTCTTTTCCTAAGTCTGCCTCAAGTTTAACAAGAAGATTCAAACTTTAAGTTCTAACTGATTCTCTATCATTTTTTAAAAAACAAATTTAAATAAGATTTGGAATGGAATGGCTGCATATCTAAACTTGATATTAAACATAATACAGTGGGTGATCGGTTAACGAACAGATCGGTTAACGAACAGATCGGTTAACGAACAAATCGGATAACGAACACTTTCGCGAAAGATTTTTATGATCGGACAACGAATACATGATCGGATAACGAACACTTCACTGAACAGACATAAAAAGAAGCGACGGAAATAGCAAATACCGACTGATTTTCCTTTGTTTTCAGGTAACTTTTTGGAGTGCTGGAGACCTCAACGTCGACGCTTAACCTGATAATATACTGATTACATAGTATCCCTCAATCTTTGAAATACTCCCTTGTAATTCCAACCTTTTATTTTTCTGACAAACAATTCTTTTATAGTATTCGCGAGACTGTCGGGCGGGCACTCATTAAGTTTTGTATCGGTTTTTATTTTTGAAAGGTGAGAGTATAATAGCAAAGGTAGAGAGTGCGCAAAAGATGTCTGATGTCGCTGGACAGTATGGCTTGAACAGGTCTACAGTAGGCCGCAGTTCAATCTTATCTAAGAAAGATACTGTATTATCAGAAAGACTCAAGCAGCTAAAGGAATAACAAAAATCACATCTGAGAAATAAAGAACAATGAAGAGCTCATAATGGAACCTGAAACGGATCTGACGACAGAAGAACGTCAAGAACTCTTGAATAGAGAACACCAAGAAACTCGGCAAGATATGTTTTATTCTGAAAAAGAGGATTAATGCCGATATCTGCTATTAATTAAAGATCTTTTGAAGAAATGGGGGATGTCAGATCAACGGTCTTAGAATGGCATACAAACCAGGTTGAGGTTAATAGGCTTGGGGATCTCTACAATTACAATGCTATTAATTACTTCTGAAAAATCCCGAAGAAGAGAGAAAAGCAATCGACATTAGACAGATTATTTAACCCCCACAAACAAAAAACCATAACTAATAAAAATGCACATCTGTGTATACATATAAATAAACGTAGTAAGAAAGTATATATTTTTTATTTTGGGATGTCTCCAGAACGAATTAATCAAATTCCCATACAAACCTATGGTAAATTCATAATCGGTTAACGAACAATTCGGATAGCGAACAAAGTCTTGGAACGGATTATGTTCGTTAACCGATCACCCACTGTATATATACACTTTATTCTTTCAATAAGAACGTATACAAATATAATAATATATACATATAATAATCAAATACACATGTTGTCCATCCTTACGTTTTGGGTAAATGTGTATTTGACTTATTTAAATAAATAAGTTTATAATTTAAAAAATAATAAGATTATTTCAAGTTAACTTTAATTTTGTTGTGTTTATAAACTATAAAGTTTATTAAATTGATAGAAAATTTTAAAATTTTTAGATAAATGTCATATTTCATAATACAAATATTGTTTATATTAATGTAAGATAATGAAAAATATTACAGTAGAGCATTGATTATCCAAAACAATTCAAGACTGGGGTTGTTCTGATAACTGATCATTTACAAAAAAAATATATTAAACACAAAACTGTACTGTATATATTTTGAATCACACATCTTACAAATTCATACCTTACATAAAGTAGGCCTAAGTTTAGGTTGGCAGGGAGGAAAAAGTACTGCAATGCCACAGCACTAGTAGAAATTTGAATTTGCCAATTGGAACACTTTCGGTTAACCAATGTTTCAGTTGATCAGTATTCAGATAATCAATGCCCTACAGTAGTTACATTCTAATTTAGTTTCAATGCAAAACAAATACTGTATTGCAATTATTAGAAAGGAGTATATAATATTTTCCTCATAAAATGTTTAACAGTATTTCTTAAGATCACTTTGTATGAGAGAAACACATCAGATCAAGAATATATTAAACACATACTTTTTAATAGTTAATTTTTTTGTATACATTAAGTATTTTAGAATAAAACATTTAAATGTATACAAAAAAAATTTAGTACATTGTTTTGTGTACATATGAAAAGAAGTAATTCATGATTTCAAGCTAATCAAAATATATAAATAAATAATAAACAGAAAAATCTTTTCCTCTCTTTTCTTCATAAACAAATAAGATATATTTATTTATATAATAAGTTTATTATTACTGAATATTAAACTAAAATATTGATTTGTTAACCTTTTATGGTTAAAAAGTTCATTTTTTAAAGATAAAATGAATGCTAATTGATTTAAAATAATATTCAGTAAATAAATTATTTATCTTACCCCAGTATTTAAATTCTTTCCTTCCATTACACCATTCCATTCTCCCGTCACAGTATAAAAAGGCTTTTTGTCACTTGGTTGAAAGACATTAGCAGTGATACGATGTTTCTTGTTATTGTAGAAAGGCTAAACAATATAAATGTATAATGAAATAATTGCAAAAACTATAACATTGTATCATCATAAGTTACTTATGTTTCCAGTAATCAGAAAGATTCACCAGTTAAATAATTAAATTATTATGTAAATTAAAATACATAAATGCATTAGTGAATTAATAATAATAATTAAAACTTTATATATAACAACAAAAAATAAAATTGTTTTCTATATTACAAAAATTATTTACACACTGTATAATAATAAATGTATAAGAAACATATAATAAAAATGTTACATTTTATTACAAATATTTTTGTAGATAAAACAGAAAATTGGAAATGTTTAGACTAATCATTTTCATTTATTTTAACATGAATTTCCTATATTTCCACTCACTTTAAATGTATTTAAACTTCTTTTCAATATTTAAAATTTACAACTTGAAACAAATTTTTATTTTATTGATAAAAAGTTGGTCTAAATTTCATATTCTTGATAGTAAATAACTGATTATTTTGTTATTTTCTCTCATTTACTCAATTTGATATAACACTTCAGTAAAAATAAGTTTTGTAAATCACTGTAAAAAATTTGTCATTTATCATGCTTTTGATTCTAATAAAACTTTTAAGTAAATAATTAAATCCCTTTATTATATTGTATTATTGTTACTATAGTAAACAAAATATCAACAGAATAGAATATATTTCTAATCCTAATTTTGATACAGTTAATCTAGCAATTCTTTATAACTTTCAAATAAACTTTAAAGTTTTAGCATGTCAAAATATCTAAAAATTATTTTTAACACAGCTTAAAATCCAAAATTTTAAACTTAATGACTGAACTGATGTTAATTTTAGTTTGTTATGTTATATTGCATATTGCATCACCAATAAATCTAAAATAAAATTTAATTTCTTCAATACCCATATACATAGATAAAGCCAAGACATTTTTTTTCTTAATTAAACGGTCATCATATGAATTTTCCAGTTTTAACATTTTTGAAAATATTTAAGATTAAAATTTACTGGTCCTTTTTTAATTATTATATTTATATTTTCAAAATATGGGCCTATGTATGTGAAGTATTAGATGGAGCATGTGTATGTAAATTATACATATACAGCAAAACTTCTCTTAGGTGACCATCTAAATTGTATGAAAAACAGTAGTCCTGGAAAGTGGTCTTCTAAAATAAATACACCATTTTGACAGCATAAAGCATTGTATTAACACAGTGACATAATAAAAAGATAGAAATACTGTGAGATAGAAAAAAAATGCATTTTATTTGCCTTGCTGGAAATTATCTAGTAATAAGTGCAAAAAATATATATATAAATTGTACACACATTATAACTTCTGTACTGTCTTATTCATATTGTAAATGTCACAATCACGTCTCATCTTGCCCACTCAGAAATAATTGGAATTCCTAATATCTATTCATCAAAAGCATCTTTGTTTACTTCTTCACTTTCAAAACAGCTTGAAACATAATGTTATGTCACAGATAAAACTTAACAAACCATCCACTGCTGGTATGAAAGGTTCAAACTCCAAGTTCCAAGGCAAACTTTAAAGCCATTTCTTGCATCATCAATCCTAAGACAGGCAAGCCTTTGAAACAACAATGATAAAAATCTACCCAAAATTGTTCTGATGACATCTTTATAGGATTTGGTATAACTTCATTTGATGTTCTCCATAATGTTTGCTTCCCATTCACAGATAAAGCTCCTTTTTGGCAAAAATTGTAGTATTTGAGTCTTCATATACTTAAATTCCTTTTCCAATTGTTGCTGCAATTTTCCAGCTTCACTTTGCTCAATACAGGAACTTTTTCCTTTAAAATAAGGAAGAAACTTCTATTTGTTACTTGACATCTTGCTTGCCCACAACTGGCTAAAATGAAACTATGAGCCCTAAATGTTGAGGTTAATTCTCAGAAAAACTTTACTGAAAAAGAAAATGGATCAAGAAAGGAAAGAAAATATATTCAGTTGAAGATGAATCACCAGCCTGAATTTTACTGTAGTTTCTGAACATACATGCACACAGAACACACAGAAATTTAGAAAGATATTGTACTATAGTTTACAAATGTAAAACCACATTCTTATGAAAGAATTTAAATAATAAAATTAATCTAAAAATTAAATATAGTATGTAGTATAGACAAATTAAAATTCCCTCAAATATCTAACGTTATGA